ACCGAATGACAGCGCGGTTTCCTCTTTCCGGCGCGGTAGGGGGATTTTCGCTGCAGGGCTCCATTCCGGCTGGCGGCCATCAAAGGTTTAAAAACCGGCCTGTGTCGGTTTTTGGAACTCCGGTCATCAAAGCAAGCGTGTTACTTGGCCATCGATTTCGGTCCACCGGCCATTTTGCGCTTTCAGTTCTTAAACTTTTGGCGAGACACCTGTTCGATTTGGGGAAAGGGTTTGGGCCGTTTTCGCCGTTTGTTTTGATTAACTTCCGTGCCATGGTAACTTCCGTGCCATCTCCCCATGTTAAAATAAAAGGGGGAAAAAACAAAGTGCGAGAAAAACTGGCCTCCTTCGGAAAAGCGTTTAAATGCCCCTAGAATACAGGAAAAATACTAAAAAATTTAGAACGAGATATTTTTTCACTTTTTTTGGAGCCAAAAGGGCCCACAATTTTGGCAACTTCCCTTAGCGCGCGACGCGCGACGCGCCACCCGACAGGCGCGGGGCAAAGGCAAACCACGCCGAGGAAATTTACCCGGGGGCCTGAAGACACCCATTCATCTCAGCAATCGGCCGCAAAAAAACAGACCTTTCTTTTAATTTTCTTTTGGGGCCGAGCGCGCAGCGGCAGCGGGTCCCCCGTGGAGATGTGTGGACGTGGGGAATGGGACCGCTCCGACACAACTCTCCGCCACGCTCATCCCACACTCTACTCGCGCCGCGCCGCGCCGCGCGATGGCCGATGCTTGTAGTTAGTTGTTGCAGATCAAACAACATAATCACCGTGCGGAGGTAGTCGCATAATTGAGCGGGGAATGCAGAGCGAGGGAGACGGAGACAGGCGAAGAGGGAGGGAGGACGCCGCGGCCGTAACGCGGGTAGTATAAGCCTTTACGACGCGGCCGGGAGGAAGAGGAGCAAGACGAGCAAAAACAAAATACAGAAACGGAATAATCGGCGTGCTAAAACGAGGCCGCAGACACGCGGCGGCGCGCCGCCACTGTGAATTTCGCATTTCGCGTTTGCGCGTTTAGATAAGGACGGGGAGCTTGTTGTTCGGCCGGAGCGTGAAAGGAGGCGACGGCGACTCACTCCGGCAATCGCCTCGCGGCCGTTTCGGCATTAAGTAAGTACCAGGTAGCATGATGTCGGTGCCACCGCGGCACTGATCCGCGTCGTGATGGCGGGATTAATCAGACAGGCGGGCGGGGGAAGTCCCAGCGGACCGGCCGCGCGGCCGCACGCGAAGCCGTCAAGCAGACGGCACGCCGACATGGCGGCCGGGGCGGCCGGGGCGGAGCGGGCGGGCCGGCCTGTCGTTTACGGACTCCTAAACAGACCGGCCGACGGCGTAAATAACAGCTCCTTTTCAGCGCCAAAGCCGAAATGGAAGCGACAATTCCTTTTGCTGCTGACCCGGCCCTGCTCGGCCGCCCCGCGAAGGCGCGCGCGGTCTGCTTGCTGTCTTTAGGGAGCTTGTTGTTGTTGCTCCGGAAGACAGTTCGGCCTGATTGTAGCTCGTTCGCGCCCGCCACCAGGGCGAGCGAGGCCGCCGTCGACGGCCACCGCGGCGCCCGGCCCGGCTGGCGCGGACAGGTGCAGGCATCTGCCCGAGTGATGTGCCGCCACCCTGTCAGCACGCCGCCAAGGCCGCCAAGGCCTCGGCCCCAAGCCATCAGGCCGAGGCTGCCGTCGACGAACCACGCAACTCACGACAAACCCCGCTGAGTTGCCTCGGCCGGCCAGACACCGAGTCAGGATCAGGATCCATACTTGGTTGCAATCCTTCACGGCCGCGCCGCGCCGCGCCCCTCCCCGCCGCAGAGCCATGCAGCAGCACATGCTGGGCGTTCCCTTTCTATGCCCATTCCACTGGGCATTCCACTGGGCTTCCCATTGACGGCGCCACCGCTTCCTGCAATGGCTTCCCTTTTCGCGCACGCCGCCTCGCGCCGCCTCGCCTCGCTGCCGCGGTAAGTCGCCTCCAATGGACGGCGCGCGCGTCCGCGGACTGCACGGGCGCGGCGCAGCGAGCTCTACTTGGCGTAACTCGAGCCGCCGCCGCGACCAAGCCCGCTTTTTGTCCGGCCTAAGCCTAATTCGCTGTTAAGGAGACGGATTAATTTGCTCGGAGGCTTTTAGAGGGCATCGCCAAGGATTCCTGGTATTCCCGCGCAGGATGGCGTCGACGGCGTCCTTGAGTCGGGCCGGTCCGCCGCGGCCTGCACCGCCTCTGCAGCAGGTGCACGCCGGCCGCCCTTGAGCTGCCCTCCAGTCGGACTGGAGACTGGAGTCTGGAGGCTCCAGACTGGAGCGCGCGCACCCCACTTGAACACGGCGGCGACACTCGGCGACCCACGAGGTTCCGGTCTTCAGAGCCTTCGGTGCAGTGCTGGCCTGGCCGGCCTGCCCGCCCTGGGGCTCAGCTGGTCGCGGCCGGGGGACGCGGGGCGCGGGGCAGCGCGGCGCACCGGAGGCGGCGAGGCCGTGCCGCGCGGTGCCGCACCTTGCCGCGCCGCACCGCGCCGCGCCACGCGCCGCCCGACCATCCGCCGACCCGGTGCAGCCCGCCCCTCCCGCCCCGCCGCCCCGGAAGGCGTCGCCAGGCGTCGCCAGGCCGTCGGGGGCGGCCCGCAGGCTCCCCGAGGGGGCCGGGGGTCGAGCCCCACGGGGACCGTCACCAGCCCCGACGTGAGGGCGCTCGCGGCCCAAACGCGGCCGGGGCGGCCCGCGAAGCCACCAGATGGCCGGCCCGGCCCCCCTGCCCCGCCGGCGTGCCGTACCGCAGCGCGCACCTTGAACCAGCAACCAGGCCGTCCCGGCATGTCCTGCCCGTCCTGCGAGCCTTGACCTGTCTCAATGCCTCGGCACTGGAACACGCATTCCTCCACGACGCGCAGGGCGAAGGGGGAGATTTCGCGGGGGCGACATCAGTGACTGGAAACGAAGTGCACGTTGATGCCCAGTGCGTCGCGCCGCTCCAGCCCGATCGCCCCGAGCTGTGCTACTCGTGCTACTCGCTGCTCCAATTGGGCCACCGTTGCGTCACCGAGCCCCGCGGGCCCCGAGGGCGTAGCGCGGCGTAGCGCCCCTGGCCTGCCCCACGCCACGGTCCGACGCGCGGCACAGCCGCCGCGGGTGCATCTCACAATGGGTTTGACCCTCGCCGTTTTTGTTGGAATAAAAAACAAAACAATGAAGATGGCACTCGGCGACGCCTGCCTGCAGAGTGACCGTCTGGACGTGGGCGTGGCGGCGTGGCCGACCAGGCCCAGCCCGGCGAGAGGAAGGGCCAGGGCGGCCAGGCAGGCGCAGTGAAAAACGGCCGTCCCGCAACACGCCGCGACAGCGACACGCCGAGGCGCGGTGTCGTCGCTTCTTTAACGTCTACATTTGACTCCGCGTTCGTTCGGGTTTCTCGCGGGGTTCCCGATCCACGCTTTCCCGTCGCAATAACGACACGAACACGCGGCGCGCGATGCGAGCCCGCCCTGCAGGCTGTTTCCGGACAGCGCTGCCGTCGTCGTCTCTCTCGCACTCACGGGGCGTGCCGCGTCGGTGCGAGAGAGGCAGACAGCGACGAAACGCTGTGCGGAATGAGCGTGCTGGCTGGGCCATCCTGGGCCATCCTGGACCATCGCCTGCGTGTGCAAGGTGCATCCTTCCTTCCCGTGAGACCCGCCAGGCGGACCGGCCTCCCTACGCCCTTTGCCAGCGTGTTGCATGGCGCACGCCGCGGGCCGTCTCTCTTGCACCCTTTCCAGCCGCCTCGTGAGTGCGACAGAGACAGCGAAAGGACGGTCCTTCGAAATCGGGCGGCAGTCGGCCCGCACGCCGAGCCTGGCCAAGGAAAGCGCGTCCTGCGATTCAAGTGCATGCTCACACGTTGACCGACCGACGCGCCACGGCAGGGAAACTCGCTTCCCCGGGAAAGGGCGAAGGGCGGCGAGGGGCCGCGAAGGGTTTCGGCGTTTCCGCCTCGAGAAGCCAGTCGAAGGTGGGCCAGCGATAAAAAAGCAGCGCGCAGTCGACGGGATTCGAACCCACGTCCACCGCGCCGCGGCCATGCCATCCCTGTCAGTCGTCATGGAGGCAGTAGGTGCCTCCAGTCCGCCCGCCCACGGGAGCCGCCGCGGTGCCGCGGTCCGCCAGGCCAGGGTCCGCCTCGCTTGCTTCGCTTGCTCGGCGGCAAGGCGGCGCGGCCGCGGCGAGCACTTGAGACACGGCTTGCTGCTTCCCGGAAAGTCAGAGTGTGTATGAGATGGAAAGGAATGGACGTGCCAGGCAGCCAGCCAGCCAGCCGGAGCACACGGGGCGCGGGCGAACTCCACTCAATCACACACCATCTGCGGCCCGGCTGGCCTGGCCACAGGCCGCCACCATGCCGCCACAGGCCTGGCCTAGCTTGGCCTGCCTCCTGCCTGCTCCTGCCCTGCCCGACTAGAGTCCGCGTTTCAAAAGAGCCAAACGCCTTCACTCCCACGGATTGGACTGACTGGCCGCCTGCAGGGTCGCGTTGACGAGGACGAGGGGTGGCGGTGACGAGCGTCGTCGCCGTCCTGGCGGTTTTGGAGCGAACGTGGACCAGTGGTGCCCAGCGGCCGAACAGTTGCAAAAGGGCTTCCCTTCTGCTTGGTGGGCATGGTGGGCCAGTGATGGCTCAATCCGGGCGGCGCGGGCCGCCACCGCGTCACCGCCCCGTCGGCCTGCACGGCAGCGCCCAGCACGGCACGCGCCCCAACAAGGCGGACGGCGGCACGTCGCGGACATGCCTTTTGTCAAGGACCGCGCCACGTCGACCACGTCGCGGCGAGCCTCATTGTCAAGCCCCGGCAGGCTGACTCCGAACTGTCGCTCTGTCTCGGCCGCACTCATAGGGCGTCCCGTGTGGGTGCGAGAGAGACAGAGCGGTCGCTCGCGACACCTCCACGGTAATCACGTCATTAAGACACCGCGCACCCTTTCAGCAACGCGCTGCCACGCATGCAAACAACACTACTTACATCAGCACATGGTGGTCGCGGCGCCGCTGTATCCAAAGAGGGTAACGGCGACCTTGTCGGCGGCGGGGTAGCGGTATCACTCCACCGGCGTTCACCGCGGCTAGCGCGGCGCGCGTGCACCGCGGGGCGCGGACCGCGCGGACGGCGTCCGCCTCCGCTCCTCAACGCCCGGCCCGTCCAGGCCCGTCCCGATCCGCCCGGCTCGGCTCGACCCGACCCGACGCGCTGCTGAGTCGCTGCGGGACTCGGCGGCTGGCTGGCTGTGTGCTCCAGCCCGCCTCCACGACGACTGTGCCGCGGCTACGCCAGGCTACGCGGCCAGAGCCTGGGCGGGCGTCCTCAGGGCCTAACTCCTCCGCGCGGAGCAGCGGGAGGGGGAGAGAGAGGGAGAGGGGGATTGTCACACACCGCCACGCCACGCGCTGATCGGGTGCGGAGGAGGGCGCGAACTGCGACCAGGGAAGGCCCAGGGCCGTCCGTCCGCGCCCTTTGACCTGCCCCACGAACCCGCTGGCTGCTGGCTCGCGTAGACAAAGGTGAGAAGATTCCGGCAGAATCCAGTGAATCCCCCCACGAAGAGGGTCGCCGTCACACCGGGGCAAACAACAAACATCCGCAGGACTCCGCGGCGACCAAGTTCCATGACTTGTCACACTGTGTCATGTCAGCTTTCGTTGAAACCACAGTCTTTGTCTTTTGAGGAAGAAAGGGCGGTTTGAAAGTTGGGCTTCTCCCGACACAGCACTTTGACGTCCCGTCCAGGTTCCGCGTGCGAAGGGTGGCCGAAGGAGCACGGCGTGCTGACAGCCAAGCGATTCAGAAGAGCGGTTTGTCGCTCTGTCTCTCTCTCACCCTTATGGAGTTCCCCGTGAGAGCGAGAGAGACAGAGCGACAAAACGACTCTTCCGAGTGGCTTGGCAGACAGAGACGAGGCGCCCGCTGGGTTGCCTACCTAGCGCGGCGTTGCCGCTGCATTATATAGAAACCCGTAGCTCTCAAAGCAGCGCGGTTTTTATTATATAATCATAGTTTGATACATTATTTCATCGTGTCAGTAATTAAAATACATCTAAAAAAACAACCAAAGTTTTAAAAAAAGTTAAGAAGACTTCAAAGAGTTTCATGAACAGAAATACTACGAGACAATGGCAGCACCCATTGGAACAACTAATTCGAACTACAGAAAGTTTCCATAAAAAATAATCTCAGTATCTAATTGAAATTAGGCAATTGAGTGATAAACATTGCCATCTTCCCAAAGTCCACTGTGGACTAATGCATTTTTACACAAAAATAATAAACTTTTCAAAAGATTAGTCAAAGATACAATACTTAAAAAATTCCTTACATCTTATTTTGTGACCGGTAGCTAATCCAGTTAAAAGTGTACAATAAAAACAAGAACAAAAAAGAGACAAAAAGTTTCACAAATTTGATTTTGTCACTTTTCAATTCTTTGGAAGCACCACCCAAAATTCTGACACCCTATACTATTCAAGTAACAAGAAAAGGTCCAGCAAATACTGCAACACCATTGAATTAGTGAAGCACCAGTACCCTGTATGAGCTCATTCCCCAATTTTCTTCTAACATGGAAGAATCAACAAACCAAGTTATTCTTGCAGTTGAACGTAATTTGCAGGAAATAGGCCGAATTTTCCGCGGCAAACTCCACGCCACCAACCCTCATCAATCTGCAATAAATCAGATAAAAAAAATATAAATGGAAACAAACTACCACAGAGCTGATAAATCTTGAAATATTGAACATACCATCTCCACATTTGTTATAATTTCGTCGGGATCAAAGGATATCTCATCATCAGCAGCTGCAAAAGGTTCACACAAATGTTATGGGTGCAAAAAAATTAATAAAAGAAAGAGGGAACATTGCTTTGATTATGAAACACTTCGCACCTGCTTGGTAATCATAGATTGCAACAGCTGTTACTCCTGTTTCCTCAGGGCCGTCCTGTTCTTCTGCTGCATCTGACTCTGTTGGTTCCTCAGGCTGTGATTGGATCTTTGGTTCAGCCTTAGGTTCTTCCTTGGGCTCAATCTTGACTTCAACCTTAGGCTCAACAACCTTGGGCTCAAACTTAGGTTCAACTTTGGACTCAACCTTGGGTTCTGCCTTCTCCTCAGGTTCAGGACTTTGTGGAGCTTGTTGAATTTTTTTCCCAGTTTCAAAAGCAAGGGACTTTTCCACTACAGGAGATGGTGTTTTGACAGCAGCAGCTGCCTCATTATGTCTCTGAATTGCCTCAGAAACAGGTGACTGCAAGTTTAAGATAAGAGAAGTTTTTAAAAATGATCTTGTAGTCAAATCAGCACTTGCTACTGAATATTACCTGGACTTTAGTTGGCTGAGCATCAGTTTTGCTTGGAGTAACATTCTGCTTTGACAGAGCCATCTTTGCAGCATCCTGGAAGTAAAAATACAAAACTGTATTTTTTTGTTTGTTTAGCACAGCAACACCTTGAGAAGCCTGAAATACAAAAACACACCTCATCTTCTTTCTGACGTAACAACTTAAGGCGATCTTCTTCCTGTTTACGGGCAGCATCTTTCTCAGACTGTTCCCTTAATTTCCGCCTTTGTCTCTCCTCTTCAGCCCTCTTCTTGGTCTCCTCTTCCCCCTGTTTTGCAAGGTTTTCAAACTTGGCTCGAAGGCTAGATGGCTTTGAGGAACCTTGAGGTGAAAAACAAAGAATGCAATTGTAATTTTCATACTTTTTGTTGTAAATGTTTGGGGAGGTTGGAATTGATGGGGCGTTCTTACCAATGTCAGGTTTGTGTTTCTCATAAGATGTGCCTACTTTTTCTTTTTCTCCAAAGCCATGGGCTGACCTGTCCACTCTGTCACTCTGAACGCCATACTTCCCTCCAAAGCCCTGCAAATAAGATAATAATTAATATAAAGATCCTACCTTATCATTTTTTTAACATAACGAATTATTTCCATACCTTTTTACCATCCACTTGGCTTTCATGCTGGTTTAGGCCTTCATGATGATCCCATCCCACAGCAGATTTATCTTGTCTGTCAGACTGCACACCAAATTTCCCACCAAATCCAACAGCGTAGTCTAAAAAACCATTCAAATTTCAAAATATTAAGATCTTGAATAAACAATTCTTTCAAAAATTACAATCAAACATACCTTTTTGACTTTCATGTTTTGTTACTGATTCTACATGATCCCAACCTACGGCTGACTTGTCTTGACGATCTGATTGAACTCCAAACTTCCCTCCAAATCCGGAACTATAATCTTTCTGTGAAGTGTGCTTTTCCAGCTTTTCCTTGTGATCCCAGCCAGCAGCACTCTGAATCATAAAGATATTTTTTTTTTTAAACTCGTGGAGGTATACATTGTAAAAAAAAAATTGAATTAAAAATTTTTTTTTTACCTTATCCACTCTGTCTGTTTGAACACCAAACTTGCCTCCAAATCCTGTTGCATAGTCCTTTTGAGACTGATGCTTCTCCACTTTAGCTACATAATCATGGCCTACAGCTGACTGATCCATCCTGTGCAGCAAGAAAATAATTATGAAAGTCATGCAAAACTGCCAATGGTTTTTGTAATCTTAATGACTTGCTTACCTGTCCTTTTGTACACCAAATTTTCCACCATAGCCATAGGCAGCCTTCGGTCCTTCATCCTGTTCTTTCTTTTTCCTCATGGCATCCGCTTGAGCCACCTCTTGACGAAGTTGGCTCATGCTTTGAAAAACAAAACACATGGATGAAAATTTGGAATTCTTACTAAAATAATAATGAAAAATCCACTTTATTTCATGCATTGAACTTTGCTTACTCAATGGTTCCTCCAGTCCTGCCAGAGCCTTCGACTGTCTTTGCTCCCCATCTTTGTTCTTGTTCTGTCACGTCATTGACAAAATCTGGATCTGTTTCCCAGTCGTCATCTTCCCCCTGAGGCAATGCAGGGGGCTTGACAGCTGCCATAGTTCCTGCTGCAGCTTTCCACATGTCTGAAATAAAACAGATCACAAGTTTTAATAAACCAAGAAGCGGATAGTTTCCATCCTAAACCATAGGAGGATTCAAAGTAGTTATGACTGTCATTACAATGCAGTAAAAATAAGAAGTGCACAGAGAAGTGGCACAAGTGAATCAATTACAGAAGTGTTAATCAAAGGCGTATGACATTAAAAGATGCAACATAACCTCTGCCAGATAAGACCGTTATGTCGGCTGCTCGGGCATTTTCAAGACAGTGCCATCAACAGATTTATTAGGAGGTGAGCGTCGGAAGCAGGGAACTTTAAGTTACCTCAGCCGATCAAAACACGCCGTTCTATCACAGGACAGGGAAGTTTGGTCAATCTGACGTATGAGGTGGTTTTGACAGGATCTTCTGCAAGCCGGAACGCAGCCACAAGTTGCGTCGCTAGCATGGGGCTATGGGTGCAAGTCCATTACCTGTAGTTTTATTTAGAAAGCGCAGATGCTGAAGACCGCCAAGTATTCCGCCGTGCACTCGTTTCCGAATAAAATCTTTGTTATCGAGAAAGGAAAGGGTGTGTCATGAATGTGTTGTTTTGATTACATCGTCTGGTCAGCCAGGCTTCAGATTCAGATCCACATCCACATTTGCCCCGAGGCTAGCCGGGAAGGCCCAAATCATGAAGTATGAGAAAAGTAGAGTAGATGTTTTATTTTCACACTTTTCCCAGGCGAACTCTAGTGACAATTTGAAATCCAAGCAACTAAAGCTTCCGCTCTATCCCTTGCAGATAAAGTTTGGTAGCCTGAGATCTGGGCTTTTGAGGCGTTCAGAGCGGACATTGCAAGATGTGCAAGGTCTTTCAGGCGATGAAAAAAACTAGTGCAATGGATTTTGCGAATGTTTGCGAAGTTAAGCTTCGGAATTAGAAAAACGAATCTTCATTCAGTCGTCCACCCCCATGCACCCTTTCAAAAATAAATAAATCATACACGCTGAATGTACGAAAGCAAAATAAAATGGAATCGCGCTAGAGGGTTTGGCCAGTCAGAGTGACAGGAGTAGATATTGCCAGCGAAATTTTCCCCGATATCAAACTTACTGACGCACAATAAGTCACCCTCCTTTCCCTCTCCCTCTATCAAAGCTCACAGCCCCTCACGTCCATTGTCAAATTGCAAATACTCCCCTTTGAACGGTCGTCGGGGCCGACTGTGGGGCGGGAAGCAGCCCCCGGCGGCCCCCGCCCCCTCCCCGCCCCCTCCCCGCCCCGCGGTGAAAGGGAAGTTGGCCGGGCCGCTCAGACAGGGAGGGAAAGTGCGGCGCGCTCCCCGTCGTCAGGCGGCCATGTCCCGCGAGGAGGTGGACGACGCCCCGCGCGCCCCGCGACACGCCGAGCGGCAGGGGCGGGCCGGGCGGGGTGGGGCGGGGTGGGGCGCTACGCCGCGTCAATAAACCACCCTTCGGCGGCATGACATTTGCAACAACTGGAACCCCTTCCCGGAGGTAGGCCCGTGGGCAGCTGCCGCGGGTGCGGGTCTGGCAGACTGACGGTGGCTGAGCCGCACATGGCTGCGCTGGCTGCGCTCCCCAAGGGGTTGCACCGCAGCAACGCACCCTCGGCGGCCAGCGAAAGGACCGCTGCACCCCTCAGCACCCTGCGACCAGGGCGAGGGTGGCTTGGGTGGCCTGGTCGGGCGAGGGTTGCAGGACCGCCCCGCCCAGCTTGGGCCCAGCCTCCCTTCGAGACTCACACCAACCCCTGAAGTTTCATCCCCCTCGGCAAGGGTCGGCAAAGCAGGGAAAGTGTAGGGGTGGTTTCGTGTCAGGAGAGCAGCCCGGCGAGGAGGTGGCCAGCCTCCCTCGCCGCCGTGCCGCCGTGCCGCCAGGGGGAGCACCGCGCGCACCGCGCCTCCGGGTCGATACGCTTCGCTCGGTCAAGCCAGGCTCAGCCAGGGGGAGGACTACCCGCCACCCCTCCCCTCCCCTCCCCTCCCGCCTACCCTATCGCGGCCCGCGACCCTCCCGCCGCGGCCCGCTCCGTGCAGCTGTACTCCCTGTCCTGGGGATGAGGGGAAAGGGAGGGGAGGGGTACCAAGCGGGGAGCAGCTGTCGCTGCCGAGTGCCGAGGGTGTGTGTGTGTGTGTGTCGTATGTGTGAGTGCGTGGGACGGACGGGTAGCAGAGCCTCACCTCCAGGCTCCAGGCAGCACTTGCATGGGAAACAATGATGTCGGATCCCATTTCATCAAAGGAGTTTACGTTATCAAAACTTTTAACCCGTTCCATCCTGTCCCCAGCGATCGTGCCGTCAAAACGGAATTCCGGAATGAAGGACGCGCTCGACTGGCATGATCCTTGGCGGCAAGACAGACAGAAGACAGACAGGCCAGCACACAATCAACCTAAAGGATGACCATGCATATGCGTTGGCGTGCGTCGCGTGCCACGCACAGTGTCACGCACAGTGTCACGCACAGTGTCACGCTCTGTGACCCGCGTGTCCCGGCGGCACGGCCCGGAGGCCCGGAGGCGCACTGCAGCGCGCGTCCTTGCCGCTCCATCGGGTGCCGGGATGAAAGCAAGAAGCCCAGCAAGCCGCGGCCAGCAGTGACCCTGCGGCATATGGCGTGGCGCGGCGGCGCGGCGCGGCGGTAACGGTATAAAAGCCGGCACCGGGTACTTCCAGCGGTACACTGGTGGCTATCGGGGAGTGCCAGAGCCGTGGCCAGAGCCGTGGCCAGAGCCACCCGAGCCCTGCTGGCCACCGCGACTGCCGCGACCGCGCCGCGCCTCGGCTGACCTGTTCGGCGAGCCTCCAAGTAGGTGCCCCGTGCCCTAGGCGAGGCGCGCCGCCGCTGGCTGGCCGTTGCTCCCCAGGCGTCGTCGTCAACGCGCTTTGAACTTCGAAAAAAATATGGAAAACATTCCGCGCGCACGGACGGCCTGACGGTCAGGTGCCGACGGCCAGGTGGAGAGGGAAGCCCCACCGCGCTGCTTTGTTTCATTAATCGCCCCGGGGCTCGGCGATAAGCAGTGCCCGCAGCGACGTTTAATTCCCCGCCCAGGCAACACGGGTTACTGGCCCGGAGTCTGGGTCTGGAGGATGGCCCGGGACCCCTTCCCCCGGGACCCCCTCTCAGATCAGATCAGGCTGGAAGCAGCGCGGGCCCCGCGGGGACCGGGACCCACTGGGAGCCCGTCCAGCACCGGGCTAAGGCTAAGGTAGGCCGGGGCAAGACAGGGCACACACACACACGCACGCCCGGTCACACGCACACGACCCCACTCCGCGAAAGGCGATGAGGACAGGACGACGCCGTTAGCGGTTCTTCGCCGCCCAGAGTCCGGCCGTCCGGCGCGGCGGTTCCAAGCTCCACGACCACAACACGGCAGAGCGTCGCCCTGGAGGACGGTCGACGAGGCGACGACGAGGACCCCGGCTTGAGGTAAGGCCCTGCGCGCGTCGACGCCACCGGCCCACCGGCCGCCGCAGCCCGTCCTGAACGCGTGTCTCCGCGCAGGACTGACGACGGCGAGGAGACGCCGGTCGACGCCATGGTGATGGCGACGCCACCTCGCCTGTGCTGGCTCGTGCTGGCCGTGCTGCTGGCGTCCGCGGCCACGGCGGGAACAGAGGCGCTGCAGGAGGCCCAGAAGAGCGCCCCCCACAAGGCGCTGCCGTTCCGGCTGCCGGGCGACGTCATGCCCCGCAACTACACCCTCAGGGTGGTGACGCACTTCCAGGACGACAGCTTCCGCTTCTACGGCCAGGTGAGTTCAAAAATTGCTGTTCCGTTTCCTACCGCCAGGACTTCCGATTTCATTCCCCGCTTCCTTTCCCCCCAGATGGTGGTCGACGTGGACGTGCTCCGGGACACGACCGAGCTGCGCCTGCACGCCAAGCAGCTCAACGTGGACCACAAGTCCGTCACGGTGGTGAAGCTGAAGAAGAAGAGGCCCGTCGTGGAGAAGCCGCCGGCCGCGCTGCCGGACGACGACGAGGACTCGAACGACATCCCGGACCCCGAGGCGCAGACGCAGAAGCCTCAGAAGGTGCCGCCGAAGGAGCCCCAGAAGGAGCCGGCGCAGGACAAGCCGTTGGACAAGCCGCAGGAGGAGCCGCAGGACAAGCCGCAGGAGGAGCCCCAGAAGGAGCCTCAGAAGGAGCCGGTCACGGACCAGCCGCCAGAAGAGCCGCAGGTCCAGGCCCAGGACAAGCCCGAGAAGGAACCACAGGAGCAGCCGCAGGACAAGCCTCAGCAGGAGGAGCAGGTGGCAGTCAGCCAGGACCAGGACAAGGAACAGCAGCAGCCTGAGCCGCTGCAGGACGAGAAGAAGGACACGCTTCAGCAGGAAGAAGAGGTGGCAGTCAGCCAGGAACAGGACGAAGAACAGCAGCAGCCTGAGCCAATCAAGGACGAGAAGGACACGCCTCAGCAGGAGGAGGACATCGAACACAAGCAGGACCAGAAACGCGAGCAGGAGCAGTTGCAGCAGGACCAGAGGGCGGAAGAACTGAAAGAAAAGCTGAATCAGGATCAGAAAGTGGCGGAGGGTCAGGCGGGGCCGCAGCAGGAGGGCGCGGCGGAGCAGCAGGCCGAGCAGGCCGAGCAGGCGGAGGGCAGGGCGGGCCACCACCAGCACGGCGCGGCAGACGCTAACTACAAAGGTATTTGCAGGAAAGCGTCCAAAAGGATCCAGTGCCGCTGGCAGTATTTGAACCTCCGCCCTGCTTCCTCAGGGCTGCGCCTGACCAACGTGTCGATGGAGTCCGCGCTGGACCAGCTCGTCGTCAAGCTGAGCAGGCCGCTGAAGGCCGGGTCGCGCTACCGGCTCACCGTCCGCTACTGGGGCACCCTCAACACCGAGGACCGGGGCTACTACCGCGGCAGCTACCAGCACAAGAATCAGACGCGGTCAGTGCGGATTGGAAAAGTTTGTGGTTGTTGTTGTCCCTTGCTTGTCTGACCACCCCGTCTTTCCTTCTGTCCGTCCGCAGCTACGTGTCCTCCACCGTGTTCGAGCCGGCCGAGGCCAGGCGGGCCTTCCCCTGCTTCGACGAGCCGCACATGAAGGCCAACTTCTCGCTCGTGCTGGGCCGCCACGCCAACTATAGCAGCAGCTCCAACATGCCGCTGGACCGCACCGAGCCCATGTGAGTTCACTTCTCCGTTCCGAAGCGCAGCGACAGCGACAGCCCGCCGAGCGCGCGGCCAAACGCCTGTCAAGTGCGGGGTAGGCCAGCCCGCACAACACGCGGGTCGTGCAGGGTTGCCTATGCTGCGCTCCGCAGGCGCCCCCACGAAACGGGAAGTTGATAAAATTGATAAAATATTGTCACGCTCTACATCAGCGGCCCATGCACTAGACGACAAAAAATTCTAACTTTGACCGTCGGCAATAATGTAATCTTATCATTTGACATCGGGGTGACCCTTTCCTGTTGCTTAGCTCCACTCCGCGTTTCAAAATTCAGCTCTCATTTTTATTTGTTTACGTTTTGCAGGGCGGAGACTCCGGGCTGGTTCTGGGACTACTACCCTCCGACGCCCAAAATGTCGACCTACTTGGTGGCGTTCATGGTGCACGACCTGGAGGCCAGCAAGGCCAACAATGCTTCCGGTGAGGGAGTGCTGGCGGGAGACGAAACGTGAAACTAAGTCCTAACAGCGATGATGATGTTGATGACGGTGATGTTGTTGTTGTGTGCGCTGTAGACGCGGCGGCGGTGCGCGCCTGGACCACGCCGGGGCGCGCGCAGATGGCCAACTTCTCCCTGTACGTGGCGCCGCAGGTGCTGGCCATGCTGGCGGCCAAGCTGGGCGCGTCCCCCGTGCTGCCCAAGCACGACCTGGTGGCCGTGCCGGGCTTCCGCTCCGAGGCCCTCGAGAACTGGGGGCTCGTGTCCTTCGAGTAAGTCCGGGGGAAAGAAGCGGGCTCCAGCCGAGAAACCTCTTAAGTCTGAATTATTTGATTGAGTAAATCCCTCCGCCGGTACCAGGGAGCGCCACCTGCTGCTGCCCGCCAGCGCGAGCCAGCTGAGCAAGCAGTCCGTGGGCACGGTGGTGGCGCACGAGCTGGCGCACATTTGGTTCGGCAACCTGCTCACCCCCGCCTGGTGGTCCGACATTTGGCTCAGCGAGGGCTTCGCGACGTACTACTCCGCGGAGGCCATGGAGAAGGTAGGCGAGCTTCGTCGGTGGCGATGAGAGAGCCTCGCCGTGTCACTCCATTTCCCTTTCTTTTGTCAAGATCTTCCCCGCGTGGCGGTTCCACGAGACGGCGGCCGGCAACGCGTACCTGCTCGTCACGTCCACCGACGCGTCGCCCAACGCGCTGCCCATCCTCCACCCCGCGGACAACCCGCACAAGCTGGACGCCGTCTTCGGCGCCACGTCCTACTACAAGGGTAAGCATGGCTGCGTGGAAGTCGCGCTTCGGCCTGGCGGACCTAACGCCCCTCCCTCTGCGTGGCAGGCTACTGGCTGCTGCGCATGCTGCACAGCGCGCTGGGCCCCGACATGTTCGACGCGGGCGTGCGCAGCTACGTGCGGCGCAACGTGCACGCCAGCGTCAGCACCCACGACCTGTGGGAGGCGATGCAGGGCTCCGTCGACGAGCGCGCCGTGGAGGACCAGCAGGCCTCGGCCTCGCAGGTGCCGGGCAGCGAGGCCGTGGTGGTGGGCGACGGCAGCGACGAGGAGGACGACGACGTCCGCGTGGTGGTGCCCGACCTCGTGCCCGACAGCGCCACCGAGGCTGCCACGTCATCCGCACCGTCGCGGAGCCGCAGGGACGCCGACCAGGTGAGCAAGTCGATGACGCCAACCACCACTGGCAGTGACAGCCTCTGACAGACTCCCCCGTGCGCCGTCACAGCCCTCACTCGGGTCCCTCGTGCTGGAGATCGTCGATCCGACCTACAAGGACAGCCCCGAGGCGGCACCGCACCACGACCAGGACGCCGCCCACAACGAGAAGTCCCAGGCAGCCAACAAGGACGAGAAGGCGTCGGGCGTTGACGGGGACGTGCAGTCACCCCCGCGCCGCAGCCCCGCGCCGTCCGCCGTGTCGGGCAAGGTCGGCTGGCTGCCGCGGCCCCTGGAGGAGGTCATGAAGAACTGGGTGCAAAAGCCGGGCTACCCCATCGTCAACGTGTTCCGCAACCTGGAGACGGGAGTCGTGACGCTCAGCCAGGTGAGGACGACGACGTTGTGGTCGCCTAGTTCCGCTCCTGCCGCTGCCATCCCTAACCGCCTTGCGTTCTCCTAGAACCGCTTCCTGAGCGGCGACGCGTCCAAGGCCTGCGACGCGGCGTCGGCCACGTGGTGGATCCCGGTGCGCTACGCCACCTCCAAGACGGCCGTGTCCAGCAGCGTGTTCTGGATGCCGCCCACGTGCGCCAACGTCACCCTGCCCGTCAAGGTGGCGCGGGACGACTGGGTGCTGCTGAACGCGGGGCTGACGGGGCTGTACCGCGTGCGCTACGACGCGCGCACGCTGCAGCAGCTGTCCAGGCTGCCGCGCTCCGCCTGGCTGCAGGTGGCACCGCTCACGCGCGTGCAGCTTGTGGCCGACGCCCTGGACCTGGCGCGCCAGGGCCGCGCACCCTATCAGACCGTGCTGCGCATGGTGAACCACCTCGGCAGGGACCCCAACCCCATGGTGTGGCGCGCCGCGCTGCCGCACCTCCTCATGCTGCAGCGACAGTTGCGGGGCCGTCGCGACGGCGTCGCGCTCAGGGTGAGCCGAACTAGTCGCACGACCCGTTGAAACCGAAAATCCGAGCATTTCCTGACCGCCGCCCTCCTTTCCTTGCAGTCGTGGCTGCAGGACCTCGTGTCGCCGCACACGGCCATCATCGGCTTCACGACGCGCGTCCAGGACACGCCGCAGCAGGCCAGCCTCCGCGTCAAGGTCACCACCCTGGCGTGCCACGCGGACCACTCCGCCTGCCAGCGCAAGGCCAAGAAGGCCCTCAAGCTCTTCATGGCCGGCGACCCGGAAGCCATGTGAGCTTAGCCATCGGCGTGGCTTCAAATATCCACTTCACTATTATGCCCCCCGCCTGACGGCTGTTTTTGTGTTTGCAGCGTGGTGGGGCGGCTGACGCACACCCAGCTGTGCGCGGCCGTGCGCTGGGGCGGCCCTGCCGAGTGGCGGTTCCTCCGCGCGCAGTTGGCCAACCCGTCGTCCGTGCTGCCGAGGAAGGCCGTCGTCACCGCCCTGGGCTGCTCCAGGGACCAGGAGAAGCTCCGCAGGTACGCGCCGCTCGCCTCGGACAGCCATTTGACTTTTGTTCGTCGTCAACACCCTCTGCTTCTCTCCTCCTCAGCTTCCTCGCGGACACTGTCAACGCCAACTCCACGCTCCGCCGCTCCGACGTCGCCGGGGTGCTGGCCGCCGTGGCCGCCAACGAGATCGGCGGGGACTTGACGCTGCGCTTCATGGAGGAGCAGGCGGCCGAGCTGTACAAGAGGTGCGTGAATGCCTTTAAGACCACACCCCGATGCCGTGGTCCCTGTAGCCCTTCTAAGCCGAGGGGCCGCTCTGCATAATCTAAGTGAATTTTGAAATCGGATTTGTCTGCGAAGGCTGGGCGGCAGTCCGCTGAAGGCGGAGAAGGCTGTCCGGGAGGTGGCGTCGTCGCTCAGCTCCAAACGACAGCTCGACAAGGTAAACCCACCCAGGTGTAAGCCGCGTACGCGTGTTGAGGCGGTTAGTGACAGCCATTGCCCTTTGTGCTTCGCAGCTGGACACCGTGCTCCGCCAGTTCCAGTCGCACACGCCGTCCAGGTCGCCGCCGGTGTGGGGCCGCGACCTGGTGCGCGACAACATCCGCTGGTCGGAGCGGAGCCGCGTGGAGGTGAGCCGGTGGCTGCGCGCGCGCCTCGACGACGAGCTGGAGCTGCGCGGCTCCAACAAGGACAAGGCCGCCGCCGCCAAGCGCCCCCACAGCCCCGCCACGGCCGCGCCCTCGAGGCCCGCTGCCGTGAAGGCCGGGACCAAGTCAGGGACCAAGGCGCCCAACGCAGGGCCCACCACGGCGCCCGGGAAAGCACCGACCGCTGCAAAGATTGAAAAGAATGCGGCAAGCCAAAAGCCAGCCAGCCAAAGGCCAGTCAGCCAGAAACCAGCCAGCCAAAGGCCAGCTAGCCAAAAGCCAGCAGCTGGCCAGAAGGTATCAAGCCAGAATGCGGCCAGCCAAAAGCCAGCCAGCCAGAAGCCAGCCAGCCAGAAGCCCGCCAGCGGCCCGAGAGTGAGAAATATGGACGGATTTCAAGGCAACGAAATTACTACAAGCTCATGGATTATCCAACGATTTATTGAACACGGTATTTCTTAATTCACAATTTGAACCAACAAAAGTACAATCAACAACAGCTATCAACAAGCAGCTTTCAACATTGGGAACGTCGAACGAGCCCCTAGATGCAAGCTAGGTTTTAGTTTTTAAACCCACAGCCTCTCAATGTGTGCACATCGGTTACAGCGCCAACTCCACCTTCAAATGTAACCCAGCCTGTCCTTGTGAATAAAAGACTGACAAAAGAATCCTCTGAAAAACAACGGGATCCATGATAAAATCTTACAAAACTCATACTGTTACATAAAAAAATCAACATAATCACAAAAATATAAAATATGTATCACGTGTAGTTGGAATCAAAGTTGGTACAAATAAATGCAATACAGATATGTTAATTTCAACACCGAGGTTTAGGCCAACAGAAAAGGACTACAGAATACAAATTAAGGAATAGGAAAGCTCTCGGCAGTTCGCTACCCTCGGTTTCCGAATCTGCCAAGGCGTCAAAGTCGGCATGGATCAGACACAACCAAAGTAAGAGGTGGGAACAGGAACGAGAACGATGGGAGGGAGCCGGCTAGCGTGCTAGCGACGACTAAGAGACAATCAATCTATCGATGTCAGTCTGAGACATTAATATCCTCTTTCCAAAAATAGTTCTATATTGTTAATTTTTGAGCGAAAATAACACTTTTCTTTCTGTCCTTGAACCAGAATCCAACTAGGAAAGCAGCACGCGAACGCCAGCGCATACCGACGTGCAAAAGCAATAGTATTAGTGTAGGAACAGCATAGGAACGATGTGAGGCTGATTGGGTGATCGCGCAGCACAGCAAAAGAAATGAACAAAACAACATATTTTTAAAGGGAGAAAATGTCGAAAGTGGGTGAATTGACGTGGAAGGCTAATGTAGGCGTGCGGCCGCCTTCCAATCGACCGGCACGAAGAGATTCGCCAAGCTTCCTACGACTCTGGAACGGAACGAGAGACAGATGGGGTGATGAGGTCCCTGGGGCCCCGCCCAGGCCCCGCCCCGAGGAGGAGGGTTGCTACGAGCAGCAGGGCTGGCAGGGCAAAAACCAGCAGCACAAATTCAGCGCACAGCTCTTTCAGTATTCTTAAGAAGACTGGAGGTGTTTTGGCACTTGGGCCGCGAAACTTAACAACGTTTAGCCTAAATATTGTCGTAGCGCCTAACTTAACGACGTCGAAAGCTTTTAATTGAAGAATGAAACATGAAGTCCGACGTAAGATATTCGATAATACACATTATGGTTAATATGAATGTACAGTACATCGACCAGACACGGCGAAATAGCTCATAGCTTCGAGAGTACGCGGCAATATAGAGATCGAAAAAGTTTCCCATTATACACAAAAATTGCTAATATAACACTGACAATAAGTCAGTTATTTAGAAACGAACGGGAAAGACCATTTTAAAATTATAAGTAGAATTTAAGTACTCTTTGCGGTAACATAGTACCTTTCTAAAACCTCATCATGTAGTTTCTCAATGATAATATTAACGATAGTATGGTACAACCTCATTATGGAATGTCATTTCTGTGCCTTAGGGTATGAACTCTTACAAACCCGATTACACAACTCTCTCTCTTCTTACTCTAACGAATAGAAGTCACGTGATTAAACTGTAACAATTAAAACTAACTACATTGTTTGTCAATCTGTCTCACGATTGCTGTAATGGCACTCACAATGCTTCTATACAGCATAAATCTAACAATAAATATTTTTTTGTTGTAAATATACATATAATATTGACAAAGATACATCACTCACGCACAAACACGCTCACTACAGTAAACCCACCCCACACATCACACGAGTGCCTCGCTCTTCGCGCACACACACACAACCAACGGAAACACGACAATGTGCACTCGGATAAGAACAAGCCCAAATCACATTGCAGCTTTAGGGTCTTGTAAAGTGAAAGTAATTTGACGAAGGCGGCGAGGAAGAAATTATAACCGGCGGGGAAATAGAACCCCAGGCGAATGGAATGAAACGCGCGTCTCCAGATCTGCGATTTCGGTAAACAACAAAAAGCACAAAAAGAGGGCGCTGCTGTCGGTGGAGCGTCGCCTCGTGGCTCCGGACACCCGGGTGCGGCGGGGCAGCCTCCGCGTCGGCTCCTCGTCGACGTCGTCGACTGCCTCTCGGCGCCTTGGTGCTTCAGCGCGGCGACTGGAAACGATGAGACCGCGGCCCCGCCTCCTTTGCGCGCTGCTGCTGGCGCTGCTGGCGGACGAGGCCCTGACCGAGCCCGACCAGGCCGGCGTCTAGTCGACGTGCTCGGACTCCTGCTGCACCAGCTTGAAGCGGCGCGGCGACTTGACGCACATGGAGCCGCAGTGGCCGTCCAGCGACAGGCGGCCCTTCATCTGCAGGTAGCGCTTGATGTAGCGGCACACCAGCTTCTGCGGCCGCTCCTGCCACTCGCTCAGCACCTCCTTGGGCGCCAGCACCTGGTCGCCCTTCAGCCGGTCCACCAGGGTGACGCAGATGACGGCGGACTTGATGCCGGCGTGGTGCGTGAGCGCCGCGAAGGACAGCGACTCCATCTCGATGTTGGTGACGCCGGCCTCGTGCACGCGGCCCAGGAACGCCATCTTGTCCTCGTCGGTGTAGTCGCAGAAGGCGCCGTCGAGCCGCCCCTGGCCTGCAGCACAAACCATTTTAGAAACATCCAGGAGGTTCAGGAGAGTCACTTTCATCGTGAAGACTGACCTTCGTAGAAGTCGTAGGTGCACATGGTCTTGCCGATGATGGTGTCGTAGGGGTCCTCGGCGGTGGCCAGCGCCTTCAGCTCCCGGGTCAGCTTCTTGTCGAGGCGGGCGGGCCGGGAGTGCATCTTGCCGAGCACGGGCTGCGGGGACAAACAAACGAAGCGTAAAGCACCACCGGCCGGGACGCTCCAGACTCCAGTCTCCGCCTGCTCCGCGCTGCGCCTCACCAGCTCCAGGACGGGCCGCAGCAGGCCGTCGACGGCCTCCTCCGAGATGACGACGGTGCCGCCCTCGATGCCGATGCCGCCGCACGTGCCGATGCGGAAGAAGATGGGGTCCTTGACGCGCGCGTGGTACATCAGCTTGATCACCTCGTGCAGCAGGATGCCCACCGAGGGGATGCCCATGCCGTGCTGCACATGCACAAACACACAAAATCGATATTGCACGAAGAATCGATGTGTCTGAGGAGCGAGCGAGTGTACTCACGCTGATGGACAGCACGGGCCCCACTTTGTACATGGAGTAGCGGTACGAGTACTGGCTGATGTCGAGCAGGGTGGTGCCGGCGGGCAGCTTGTGCCCGATCTCCTGCATGATGTAGTAGGCGAACTGCTCCACGCGCTTCGGCGTGCCGCCCATCACCACGAACTGCAAAGTGAAAACGAATCCAAGTCAGCGCGCCGCGTGTCTCGTCCATATTTCAAACGACACGGCCGTTTAGGGTTTCGGCTCGGCCGAACGCGGCCGACTCTTTCGGGCCCGCGGCGGCGGCGGCCCGCGAGCGCCCGAGCGCGGCAGGGTAGGCAGCCCAACTTGCATGACAGATCGTCAAACTTCTTCCGTGCAGTGGGCATTCTTACAGGCGCGAAACGCGAAAGATCGATCCCTTGCAGAGTATTTGCTGCTCCCACCCAAGCCCGCGCAAAGTGCCATTATCCGTGGCTGCTCCCCGAGCTCTCTCGCCGGCAGAGAGCTCCCCCAGGGACTGCTAAACTTTCATCCCGGCGACGGCTTCCCCTCGCGCCAAATTACCGTAATGCTATGCAAACGTGTCATCCGCCCCCCGGTTCAGAGGTTCAAAGCAAACTTCCCTTTCTTTTTCGCCGCCGCGATCAACTTGACGGCATGCGGCGCGGCGTCAAAGGCCCGCAGGGCGGTGCCGCTGCCAACTTTTCAAGGGCGAAGGGCGAAGGGGGCGGCGCACCACCGGGAGGGGGTGGGGGTGGGGTTGGAGCAGCGCTCGTTTCGTCGGGTTCGGTCGGGCTGGGGCCGGAAGGGCACGAAACTGCACAAAAATCTGCTGCGGGGGGATTTCGCTTCCGACACACGTGCGGAGCGCGGAGCCGAATCCCGGCCAGCTTTCGACCTGCGCAGCGGCGCCGCCAGCTTTCGGCCTTGCTTTCGGCTTTCAGGCTTGAGCCGTCAGCCGTGCGCTCTCGGTCCACCCGGGGCGGGGCACGGCGGTGCGGCGGGTTTTCTGCCCAAATCCGATCTCATCTGACGCCTGCTGCTTACCAAGCACTCAGCGCTAATCTGACCCCTGATAAGTCAGCGGCGTAGCCACCCCCACCCCGCACCTCCCCTCCCCATCCCCCGGGCCAGCCTGCTGCGCCACCGCGACACACTACTGCGCCACACCCAAGCCGTGACTGTACCCAATTTTACTTTGAATGACATTCGATTTTGCCGCCATGTGTCATCTTCGAACGGCACTTTTGTTCACCTTGACGTCGCCGAACATGGACACGAGGTCGTGCGACTCGCTGCCCAGCGCCAGGTGGTACAGGATGTCCTGGTCCATGAGCTCGATGTGGGGGTTGCGCAGCTTGACGGTGCCATCTGGATACCTGCAACAAGAACAACGCCATCCCATTTCAAATCACTTTTCACTTTTTTCAGACAGGCGGAGGGACGGGGGGGGGGGGAGTTTATAGATAGACTGCGCGCATCGCAGCGCAGCCGGGTGCATTAGCAATTGCACCAACCTGACAAAAAAAAAGTTTTCGTGAGTTTTTGTTGTTGTTTTTTTAGCTGGCACGGAAAGGCTATTAGCAGTCCGACATGCGACTGGTTCACGTCCAGGTTCGTGTGCATGTCATTTTGTTTTTATTCATGAGATTCCATTCGCTGCAATTGCATCAACGCTGAACGTCGCGGCCGTCGACGATCCCAACGCCGGCAGTCTTGGCCGTGAAACGCATCGGAGTCCCGCAGCCACGTCGGTTCTGCCTCGGAATCCTGAATCCTGTTTCAGGTTGCTCACCCGATGACGCTGCCGAGAACCGAAAGCACCCGATGGAGCCGATCCGAAAATGCGGGAACTCTCTGAACACGGCGGGTGCCGGTGTTCGTTATGCATGAATCACGTATTTATTGACGCCTGCACTGTTTCTGTTATCACCGCGGGCCTATTTCTGCACCGCGGGGCACTCCCTTATCACTCGAAGGCCCCGCCCCGCCCCGCTATGTCGCCCAGATGGCGTGACTAGAAAACTCCAATTATCTGCCATGCCCATTTTCCGGCACCAATTTTCCGCCACATCGCTGGTTCGGCCGGATCGTGAGAGGAAGAGCGATCGGAAAAGAGGGAGGAAAAGGAAATTCGGCGCGGAAATGCCGGGAAATGCCGCTCGGCCGGCAGCGAACACGGCAAACACACAGGAAGGAGATAAGGGGTGATGTCAGAGCTCGCGTCGCACAACAAAGGGCGCCAGGGCCACGGCCACGGCCTCCGCGGCCTCCAGGTGTCGACATGCCAGAGCCGCGCCGGGCGCCCTGGGCCTGGGCCTCGCCCTGTGCGCCACTCGACACCAAGCCCGTCGTCGCCGTGCAGGGCGGCCCAGGGCGGGCCCACTGGGCCCACCGGCACACGAGGAATCCCTCAAGTTGCAGCAGGGCCGCGGACAGGTACACGCGAAAAACAAAACACTCAGCACTAATCGATACATCAATATACAGTACATCAGCGTAGTCGAGAGCCTCTTCAGCGCGGTGGTGGGCGATTCGCCTGAGTTCGTAAAATGCCTGCCTATTCGTGAATACATTAACAAACTCAGAATTGGAAATGTCCTCCGTTTTTGTGTTTATAAATATGAATCCAAGGAGTGGAAATCGGGAAACAGGAGAGCGACCGAGGAGTTTCGAAAAAAAGCACCGAAGCGTCGGGTGCATACAACGTAGCATGCTTCCAACAACCGGTTACCGCACGCAGCTGTTAGTCAATCGGTATTTTCTTCGACAGCCTCGCTGCGCTACGGCCTTCAATGACGTGCCCGTCCAATAAACCGGATCGCTAGGCCTACACTGCTGCCTGCAGGCGTCGCTCTGTCTCCCTCGCACCCATGGGGCGTGCCGCAGGGCCGCGAGAGAGACAGAGCGACGAAATTGCCGTTCGGAAGCAGCCTGCTGGTGTATCGGTTGACACGCTGTCGTCGCGGATGCAGCCTGTTACCGCGCGGCGTGGCGCGGCGCCCTTCGTGGCGTGGCCCGGGCCCGGCGCCTCCAAGTTGTGCCAAACAACGCACTCGTTGTCGTCGCCAAGGCGCGGCGCCGCGGCCGAGTCCCGGGGGCACCTCCGGGGAGTACAGCACAGTCCGGCAGTAGTTCAATCCCAACTCGCGACGAACTTGTTCCCGCCCCGCTCCCAGGAGGTTATTATCGGAGAGGCGGACGCTAAATAAAAACAACAAAACGGCGACGCTGTCGCAGGATTAATATTAATTTTGAAACAAGTTTGCGCTTCGTCCGGACGCGGCACTGCAAAAAGCCGTGCCTCCTCGCGAATTTCAAAACAGCTATTTCCCGGTTGGCAACACTGTTTGACAGCTGATTGGGGGCCCTTGCTTGTTGTTGTTCGCGAGGCCGGCTGATAACAAGGGTGCGGGCAGGACTTCCCCGCCCCGCCCCGCCACGCTCCGCCACGCCACGCCCCGCCCCGCCCTTCGCAGCCTGAGGCATCTTCTCGTTTTCTATTTCCTTGGCAGTGTCTCGGCCGGGGCGCGCTCTCCGGGACCCGCGCGCCGTGGAACCGGAAGCTCCACAAAACGGTAATGTAACAAAGTGAGGCGGGGCGGGGCGGGGTGCGCTTTGAGCAGGGCGGTGCGAGAGGAGAGGCCCCTCTCTTCCCCCGCCCAGGGGCGTCTAAAAGCAGCCTGGCGTCGAGGCGTGCGGTGTGCGGTGCCGTGTGCGGTGCGGCGCGGCGTACCGCCGTGCGGTAGGTCGGGGCCAGCAGCCCGCGGCCGCGACACTGTCGAGTGGAGGATGAGGCAGCGTCTTATCCTTTCCCCGCGCTCTGCGACGCTTCTCTCCGGGTTCCTCTAGACTCCTCTAGGCGGTGCGTCGCGGTGCGTCCGCCGGATCTGCCCCCGCCTGTTTACCTGACGAGCGGCCGGGTGCCGTTGAGGAAGTCGGCGTCGTCGGCGGCCTGCACGGCCTGGGGCTGCACGGCCTGGGGCGCCTCCCTGTGCTGCTGCTGCCTCTTCTCCTGCTCCAGGCGCAGCCTCTTCTCCACGCCGCGGGACTTGCACACGTCGCAGCCGATGGCCTCCAGCTGGGGCGCCTGGAAGTCGCACTCGCAGTCGCACTCGCACTCGTCCGGCATGGTGGCGAGTGTGTGTTGAGTCTTGCTGTCGCGGAGTCCTTCGTCGCCGAGGTCCTGTGCTCCCGCTCTGTCGCTCTGCACTCTCGGCTGCTGCCGCACGCCGCGATCCGACACCCGATCCAAAGCCGATCCGAACGCGTCAAACTCGGCGGGGTTACTGCTGGGGCTGGGGCGTCCGCGCCATCAAGTCGCCTCGCCTCCCCGCCAGCGCGGCTGCCAGCCCCGACTGCCCCGCCAGAGCGCGTCCTGGTGCTGCTGCCGCTGACGCGCTGCCCGCCAGCTCGGCCTGGCCGGCTCGCTCGTGTTGCGGGGCGCGTGGTGGGCGCGCGGCCCCGCGAAGGACTCTGGATTGTTGTATTGCATCACGGCCTGCATCGCCTGCATTGTCCGGCGCGGCGCCGCAGTGCAGTGGCACCGCATGGCATGGCGCTTGGCGGCGCGTGGGGCCTTGGGCAGCCTGGGGGGCCAAGGGGCCCGAGGCCGACTTATCACTCGTAATGCAGAGTGCCGCCACCATCAAATTAGCGCCATTAGCGATCTTCCGCAGTGCGTCCCGCCCTGGGTGTGACCCCTCCACACCCCGCCACGCCCCACCGCGCCCGCCAGCGAAAAGTTCCTCGCGATTATCAACTTGCCAAGGACTTTCTTGAGCGAGGAGCGCGGCGCGGCCCGCACCTGTCTGGAGTGTCCGAGTGTCTTCATCGTCTCGAGGGGCGGACGGGCGGGCGGGCGGGCGGACACCACTGCAAGCTGCAAGACGCGCGCAAGTTCGGCATCAACGGATCAAGCAAGGCCGGGATGGTGGAGGGGGAAATGCACGGCAGCTGTCGCAACTGTCAAAAGCTGGCTCGGCATAACTTTGGGCGGGCGGTGCAGCGAACCGGCATGATGGGGCTGCGCTGCGCCAGGCTGCGCAGACTTTGGACTGTCGCAGGGACACACGACACCGGGGCCGAGGATGGGGCGGGGATGGGGGCGGCCGCAGACAAACAGAGACAGAGTGTAGGGTTATCTCGAGCCGGAACGCGCAACGCGCCCGTCTCAACATTTTAGCGACACGGTTTGCTTTTTGTTTCATTTCGACACGTTGCAGATGGATGACAAAACACACATTGTGTTGAGTGTGACATAATATTTGTCCTCGGATTTGGTTTCCATGTCAGTATGGTAGCGGGGCGCAGCGAGGGCGAAAACGCAAACGTTCATTAAAAGGAAACATTTACCCAACATCTACATAAAAACACACACGCGTCGCGGCGGTCGCGGCGCTTCACGCACATGGGAAATCGGTTGCGCAAGCGGCGTGTTGTGTCTAACACTGACAGCTAAACGCCATCCCGCCCATTGATAAATGTCTATCGGGCTCGGACGCTGGGACGCTGCGCGCGTAAAGGGAGCCTTGTTTGTACACACTGGCGGCGGGGCGGGGCGGGGCCGAGGGCGGGGCGGGCCCTCTCAGGCCGAAGCCGCAGCCACGCGGAGGCCGGCTGCGGCAAGATAAACCTATCGGCCGGCATCACTTGGTCATCTCGCTGCCCAGTCGTGGTGATGCTGGCCGAAGCGATTCAGTTATCGGAGCCGCGTGGACAGGAAAAGTCGAGAACGACGAGAAGGAGTTGGAAGTGAAAGTAGAGGATTTAGACCAGGGAGCAACGCATAAACGATCAACCTAATCCTGTTTGTCTTGCCTAGATTCGACGCGACTGTGCGAGGCAAGTCTGCAAACCACATTCTGCGCACTGCTCTGCCGGGGCACGGCAAGGGCGGCTTTAGAGTGGAGTGGCCGGAATGGCGGCCCGCGGTCGGGGAGGGTGGCGCCTGGAGCCTGGAGCCTGGACTGGCTCGGGCCGGCCGCAGGGCTCACAGTGGAGCTGGCCCGGACAGGCAACAAATGAATCGGGACGCCAGCACGGCCGTCCAGCCCCCGCGGCCCCGCCGGCCGAAGTACAGAGCGACTGTGCGGCCTGTCAAAACGGAACTTCGTTTATCCGCCCTTCACAGACCTCGTGGAATGGCTGCTCTTGTTCGGCTGGGACGCGAAGGGACGCGCAGGGACGCGCGGCGCCGTGCTAATTGAAAGCGAATTCCACGGCCTCGGCCGCCCGGTCCCCGATCCAGCGTCCCAGCGGCCAAGGCCTGGCCAAGGCCGGCGGTGTCCACATAATTAATGACGGTCCCTAATCAAACACGAGATTTTACTCAAGGGACTGGGCGGGCCGGGCAGGCAGGCGGCCAGGCTATTCAGCAGGCAGGGCGGCACGGCGGGGCGGACTGCCTTTGGGCCGCCTGGCCTGGCACGGCCAAATTGAATTAATCTCAGGTGGGGCGGGAAGGGGCGGCCGGCGACGACCCGCCCGCTGCCCCGTCGCAGCGCGTGTAGGCCCCAGGCCCAGGGTCTGCGAGGTGCGCCGCCCCACGCCGCCCCGGACCCGTCGTCGCCATGGTGACGAGACGAGGGGGGCGGACGCCGCCGTGCCGTGCGGTCTGGCTTTGCCAACGGAGCGGCGTAACCGGAGGCGCGCGCGCTCCTGGAGGACGCCTAGAGGTCCCGAGATGGGTTCACCCACCGACGTCTCCCCACATCCTACCCGCCGCAGCCGACCCCGTCATTTTGCAATTAAGTGCAACCCTCCGAGGCCACCCCGGTGCCGTCCCGGTGCCGCCTTGCCTCGGCGATGTATCGATTCCACGTCGTCCCCGTCGTCGCGGCGCTGGCGCTGCGGCGATCAGGCCCCGCGTCGGCGCCGTCGCCACGCCGGAAGTCTCGGGCCGCTCGGGCCGCCTCGGGGAACGCCGCGACGCCATCGCTGGCGCGATTGTCTCGGCGGCACGCACGTGGATCGGAATGCCGTCCGGGCGACGACCCGGACACCGCCGAGCTCCACGAGCTCCTCGTCGGGACGGTCCAATACCCGCGCGAACCGTCGCTCGAAACAACGCGGAGTTCATAAACGGTCGTTATTGCCCCGCGGCGTCCCGTCGCCGCCCTGCTCCGGCCGGCAGGCTGGCAGGCTGGCAGGCGGCCTTCCCCCCCGCCGAGTTGGAAACTAGCAACTAGTGTTGCACCTGCCTTTTCCCGCACCTCGCCGCCGGGGCGTCCACCGAGTTTGCTGGGCCCTAAACGAAGAAACGACGCCAAAGGCCCTTGGGCAAGGCTCGCCAGGCCCTACGGGGCAGGCCGGCGTCACCCTTGACCTTCCTTCGGACCGGAGGAAAGAGGGAAAGGGGGCGGGGAGAGGAGCGAACCAAGAGAGTTATTGGATGCAGAGACGACCCTTTGCTACGAACATGTAGTCTCCTGGGAGGGCGTGTGCATGAGCGTGTGTGTGTGTGTGTGTGTGTGTGTGTGTGTGTGTGTGTGTGTGTGTGTGTGTTAGCGCACGTACGGGGCACGTGTGGGGGCAGAGATAGCACTGGCGGTGGAACGTGCCGGGTGTACACGGTGGACTCGCAGTGGCCCGAATGACAGCCGATGGCGCTGGCAGGGTTGGCGGGGGTGGTGAGGGTGGTGGTGGGGAGGCGAATTCATGTGTGCTTTGTCAGCAGCCGCGCACCGCCAGGCTGCCATGCCGTGCCGTGCCATGCCAGTCCGACGGAGCGGCGCGGCCGCGCGCACCGACGCGTGAAAACCGAGATTTTGTCGGGGCCGCGGCCCGCGGGCGGAGGCGGGAGGTGCACTACTTGTTGTCGGGGAGAAAATGAGCAGGCAGGGGGCAGGGGGGTGGCGGGGGGAAGGAGGCGGACGGTGGGGGTAGCAGAGGCGGACATCGACCGCCCCGCGCCGCAGGGGGCGCAGGAGAGAGGGGGGGGGGGTAAGGGGGGCCTCGAGGCGCGGGCAGAGCGGGGACGGTCCCCCGCCCCTACTCCCACACATACACACACACACACACTCACTCACAAACGTATAGGCAAAGCCGGAACCCGGAGAGTGAAAATAAAAGAGGGCCTGGGGCCTGGAATGTGTTTGGAGCCGGAACCTGCCGGAGCTCGCGCAGCACACAAAGAGGAGGGCAGCTACCGAAGGGGAAGGGGGCTGCAGACAATGCCCGCAGCCCCGCAGCCCACCGCGAGTGTACCCCCTTGAACTTGTTCAGCCGGCAAAACGGGCGGTGGAAGTAGCGCCGGGCTCGTGTTGTGATGCAGTGCAGGCAGGACGCCTACGGACCCGAAAAACAGTGGATCATTTGCGACCTTTGCAAGTCAAGTCCTCCTCAGCATGGTTGTTGTACGGGTCGCGCTGCGTCCGCAAGCTTCGAGCCGGGAGGGGAGAACGCCGTGCGGGTAGGCAACGCCGCCGCATCCGCGCCGAGCGCGCTGCCTACGCCGCAGGCTGTCTCGCTGCACGCTGACAGAGCAGCGCACCGCCGCACCGCGCAGTGTCACGCAGTGTCGCCCTGTGAGTAGGCCGGCATTCCGGCGGACCACCGGGCTGCCCTGCCGACATCAGCCTGCCTAGTAGGCGGTATCTGAGTTGCCTCTCGTGGGAAGTTTGCGTGGCGACAACCCACAGCCCGACGGCGCGCAGGTCGGCCATCGGCCAGCCTGGGGACGTGCGCTACGTGCTACGTGCGCCGGCGTCGCGATGAAACGATGAAAGGACGAAACGTCCCGGGGCTGTTGTGTGGCCGTTGTGGGGCAGGGCAGGCAGGGCCGGCGGGACGTCTCGCTCCAGACTGGGCTAGCCGGGGGCCCCGGGGGTGGTGCCTGGGCACACACGGTCTCTTTTGTGCCCCGACGCCGCGCCGTGCCGCGCCAGCAGGCTGCCTTGTTTTGCCCGCGGCGTGGCAGGCGTCGATTATGGAGCGGACGGACGGGATGAAAAGAATATAAACAAACGGCTGGGCTGGGAAAGGCGGGGCCTCCACCACCGCCACCACACTGCTCAGGGGCTCCCATCGCGGTGGCCGCGGCCGCTGCAAAGCTCCTGGGCCACTTGCTTCTCGCGCGCGGTGCAGTTTGGCTTCTCTGGGGTTTCATTTTGCGGAGCTGGCTGCCGCAGCCCTTCCGTTTTATTTTTCCCGGGGAAAAAGAGCCCCGCGACTTTATCGATGTGCTGTGCTGGTCTTTACGATCGGGTCCGTGGAAGGTCCAGCCCACTCCCACAGGACCCGAACCCGCACCACCCGAACCAGCCAGGCGAGCCACGCGACATTGGACATTGCGACGTGGTGGCCGGCCGCCCAGCCCAGCCACGCCGAATGGAATATGGAATGGCGC